CCCGTCCCCTACCTGGGTGGGCCCCTGGAGTGGGTAAATCTACGGGGTCCTGGGAGAAGCGGGGGGTTCCCAGAGGACTCTCGGGACAAGCCTGTCTGATACAAAGAGCCTCCCTCTCCCTCTTCCCCTCACCCCTGCACCGAAGACTCCTCAGCGCCCTGTCCCTCAGAGTCCTGTGGACCACGGGCTTACACTCCCTGCGCACAGTAACAATGGCCTGCGCTTGTCCAGCCCTGTTCTTCTGAAACTTGACTGTGGTGAGCAAGGGTCCCCACTGGCCAGGCTGGCAGGTCAGGGAAGGCCGTGGAGGCAGGGAGAGCCCACAAGGCCATTGGTGCGCTGGAGCATCAGCACTCCAAGCACCCCAGTCGGCTGCTGAGAGAGGGTTACCAGAGGCGACCTCAGGCAGGGGCCTCAGAGGGAGGCGACTGCGGCAGTCCCCCCAGCAGATGAACTGCACCAGGGCATGACTGCAGGGCACGGTAGCTGCGTGAGGAGGGTCTATGGCACTTGCTGTGTGCTGCGGGAAGAGGGGTGCGGGGAGGGGTCCCAGGGGGGCCATGCTGGACTGGCACTGTAAAAACGTGGGTCTGGGGAGCCCCTGGAGTGTGGTGGAGCTGAGATCGTGTGGGTATGCTGGGCTTGAAAAGCAGGCCACCTTGGTCCAGGGGCAGATGTCCAGCCAACGCAATCGAAAAGGTGGTTCTGGAGTTCTTAGGAAAGAGGCTGAGGTGAATTTTGGAATGTCTGAAAGAAGTTGGGCTGCCAGAGAAGATGAGACGGAGGAGACTGTAGGAAAGGTCTAGAGGACAGGGTTGAAGACAGAACCGGGTCTAAGGGGGCAAAGGAGCCACCGGAAGGAGCAGAAACCAGCAGGAGAAACCGTGGAAGAGGGTCAGGACTGTGCAGGTCACAGGGCTCAGGAGAAGAGGGGCTGTCCAGCAGGGGCCCATGCTACAGGGACATCAAAGAAGAGGGCACTCAAGAAAATAGGTTTAGATTTGGAAATCAGGAGATCTTTGAGGAATTTCAAGAGAAGTATTTGAGTGATGGGTTGTGTGCACCAGATTGCCACTCTTTGTGGAGGGGGGTGGGCAGCGATCAGCATCCTGGATCCAGTTGGTTGATTCAGGGATACAGAGGACGTCTCCTTGCTTCCGTTCCGGAGGACTCTGAAGGACACTCCTGCTCCACAGTTTCCTGGGGGATCAGCCAAGGCCCCTGTGGATAAAGTATCTCAATTCAAGTTCCCTCTCTGCCTGATCCTGTTTCCCAAACTCTCTTAAGGTGTTGTTCCCAAGGGTACCCCCAGTAGATCCCCTAAAGGCAGACCTCCATCTCCATGCATAGTCTGTCTCCTAGAAACCCAGCCTGAGATATAGGGTCACTGAGAAAGGGTGCATGAAATCAGGAAAAGAGGGTGTAGTGGATTGAATTATGTCCCCCCAAAACTCACCGAAGCTTGAATTGTGTCCCCAAGTTTTATGTATTAGAAGCTTAGCCCCCACTGCGACTGTTAAAAGAGGGTGGGAAATCCTATTACGGTAATTGAAAGGTGAAGCCTTGAAGAGGTGATTGGATTGTAGGATCGTGCAGTAGTGAATGGATTAAAAATGGTGGTCAAGGGCATGGTTCTGAGGGCTTTAAGAGAAGAGGAGAGTCTGGTTTTTTGCTATCTCTGCCCTCTCTGTTTCTACCATCTTGCAATGTGAGACCCCTGGGTCACCGTCACCACCACCAGATGTGTTCTTTGGACTTTGGACTTCCAAACCTCAGAAACTGTAAGCAAATAAACTTTGTTTTCTTTATAAAATACCCAGTACTGTGTATTTTGCTATTAACAACATAAACGGACTAATACAGAGGGATGGTGGTAGAAACAGAGGTAAGAGATAAAAAAAAAAAAAGAACCACTGAGCTTGAGCCTCAGGGCAGAAGAGAGGCAGGAGCAGGCGTATCACGTGCCAGCCTCTCTCTTTCACTTCTTTTTTTTTTTTTTTTTTTC